GTTTTCTTTATGACCATGTTCTACTGTTAACTGCCTTAAACGGAATATATTACGATGTACTACAGTGATCAAATGTCTTTAATGAATTAGAGAATTTTGTTTTACACGACAGACAGCTATATTCCATAGACAAGCAAGGGAAATACATGGCCTGTTCTGCCCTGAAATCCCAAGGGGGGATAACTCTACATGGCACACAATGCTCAAAGTGAAAGAGGACATGATCGGACTGCTGGATATTCTATAGCTCTATGGGAACTTTTGTGTACATACATCAATGACACACCACTTATATACATCAATATTAAATGTTTTAACTTTTTACATACTGTGACACGCTAACGTCCATCAGCTCATGGCCACAACAAATTGTCAAGTCTCATGATTTTGTCATATTGCTAGCATGAAGGCATACATGTGGCAAAGGATATAATATAGTTAAACTTAGCTATTCCTTCCAAGGACACCAATAGCCCCTAGCCCTAATCTAATTTTAAAGTCCCCTAAGGGGTAGACATGGCCTAGTAGTGGATAGAGTGTCTACCCGGAGAGCGGAATTGATAACTGAGAGCGGAAATGGTAATTGAGGTTGGTAGTTTGATGCCCGGCCATGTCATAACAAAAAACATCACCCTTGTTGTCACCCTGCCAGGAGTTTGTCATTAAGGTGGTAAAAGAAGAACTAGTCAACTCAGAGTCATCATTCAGTATCTGAGTGGGGTATCAATGTTAAACAGCGACGTTCAACCCCATTTCACCTCACTTTACCTGAGGTTTAGTAGAATTTCAGGCTTTTAGGGGGTATGTTAATTGTCACTATACTGGCTAGTACCGTAAACATTTTATAAAAGTTGCATCCTAATATTTGCACTGTTTAATTAAGGACTTCAGATCAAATGAAATCTTATGATAATTCTATTGTTAAAATAAAATATTTCGAGGGTCAATTAAGATTGAAACACCTCAAGGAAATCAGGGTCCTTTAACTTGTTTAAGTCCTAATGAATCGGTACTCCTGTAAGTCAACAATATTTTCATCCAGAAATATCAATTTGCGGAAAGGAGCATCAAAATAGTCAAAGATGACATATGGCACCATGACACTCTTAGCAACACCAAGTCATTTGGAACGGTCAGTGTTTACATGATGAAATATAGATGTGCAGTCACATTGTGCCTGTTTGGAGGACTGACTCCCACTCTGAAGCAGTGGCATGTGACGTCTCGGTGATGACTACATGGGAAGCAGCATTGATTTTCCTGGCATGTCAGAGTCTTAGTTCTCCCATATTGATTGATGTAGGTTATTTAGTAAAAATCAAGAACGCAACTGTGAAATTAATTAGGAATGGTACAGTTGTTGCTGTATCATCTGAGTGTGTGAGCAAACTAATGCTTCCTGTCATGCTCCGTGCAGCTCTCACAGTACCAATCACGCAGAAAGAGACACCGCTCTCTACACACCACCCATCACACAGCAAGATACAGCTCTCTACACAGCACCCATCACACAGCAAGATACAGCTCTCTACACCGCACCAATCACGCAGAAAGAGATACGGCTTTCGGCACAGCGCTGTCACACAGCAAGAGACACAGCACTCTCCACAGCACCCATCACACAGCAAGAGACAGCTCTTGGCACAGCACGCATCACGCAGAAAGAGACAGCTCTCAGCACAGCACCCATCACACAGCAAGAGACAGCACTCTCCACAGCACCCATCACACAGCAAAATACAGCTCTCTACACCGCACCCATCACACAGCAAGAGACAGCACTCTGCACAGCACCCATCACACAGCGAGGACAGATCTCGGCACAGCACCCATCACACAGCAAGAGACAGCACTCTCCACAGCACCCATCACACAGCAAAATACAGCTCTCTACACCGCACCCATCACACAGCAAGAGACAGCACTCTGCACAGCACCCATCACACAGCAAGAGACAGATCTCGGCACAGCACGCATCACGCAGAAAGAGACACAGCTCTCGGCACAGCACGCATCACACAGCAAGAGACAGATCTCGGCACAGCACGCATCACGCAGAAAGAGACACAGCTCTCGGCAATGTGCCATAACACAGCAAGAGACACAGCACTCTGCACAGCACCTATCACACAACAAGAGACAGCTCTCTACACAGCACCTGTCACACAGCAAGAGACACAGCTCTCGGCACAGCACCCATGACACAGCAAGAGACACAGTTCTCTGGACAGCATCCATCACACACAGGAAACAGCTCTCTGCACTTTGACCCATTAACCCTTTTTCCCAAACATACTGTGCATCATAACACCCCAAGATGCTAAATGTACAGAGAAACCAATAGTTTAACTGCTGAAAGTGTTTGCTCTGATCTCTAATCTATGTTGTGAAGTAAATGTTTGTTAGTCCTTAGTGTTCACTTGCTGTTTGTTTAGGACAGAATCAACATAAACTACATCTGAGAGACCATCCAATAAATCAATATCACACCTCGTATCCCTGTCACACCAAGAGCCTCCGTCACTTTATACAAGTACACGCTTCAAATCAATATCAATATTTCTCAAATGAAATAAATATTTATATCATCAACCAAAATTTGTACTCTAAAACACTTATCAAAGAAATGTATAAGTCAACATTATAGCTGTGTGAAATTACCTAACTGGTGATTATTGAGAAGGGCAACATATAGAAATAAAGAAACAGAATTTAGTTTATTCTACTGCAGTGTTGTGGCTACAGGCCCGATCTGATTCATTTGTCAAACATGGAACAAGTGTCAAACTAGTGACCCAATCTCCCAAACATGACAGATTCCAAGATAACCCCTGTGTCAATCAAGGAAAAGACAATTCAGCGATAGAAATTGGCAGTAGTCTTGTTGTCCTTGCCAATCTGCCCAATCGTTCAGGTATCATAAAGACAAGAATAAATTTGCCGTTTTATGGTTTTGCTATGTGTTTTCATTATAAGGACTATTGGACTAAAAATGTTAGTTTCTACCACAGACAGTTAATATCAATTAAACTTAACTTGATTGTTTGTTTTCAGAGAAATTTTGTGCAAAATAAAACAAAAAATTAAGAATGAGGTGTATGTGTGTTGTATTGTTTCTTTATTGATGAAATAACAACATACATCTGTAGGTAATAGTATATATACTACTCAAAAGAAATGAAAGAACACCTGTTTTTTTTCATAATACTCACGACGGTTAATCTGTCATGTCATGATAGAATCATAATGTAAAAATCTGGTGTTTTGAGTGGTATATTTGGACACCAAAAAGTTCACATTGCCTTAAATTTCAAACACAACTGTAAGTGGTCTAGCTCTTCAACTGGCTAAAACCCCTAACTTGAAGTCACATCTTACACACTGTTACCTTTCCACATCACACATGACATTGACCATCTCACCTAAATGATGCCATCAGCATTGACACAGTGGAGTCTTAGGTCCAACTGCCATTAAGTGACCATGGCTACCATTGTTTGTTTGCAGTGACCACACACACAGCACTGGCCAAATGACCACCAGCGTCAGGTGCTTGCAGTGTCCAGACACAACACAATGGTCATCCCACAACTATGATCTATGACCTATTCATTGTCGACATATGACGTATATATATCTGTCAACTACAAGAAATTTATTACTCCAGTCAATTGCTTATCAAAAGCTTTATTGGCACTTACAAATTAGTATCAAACATCTTGATGTGAAATATTTTATGAGTAAAGCTTATACTTGTCAACTTCTTGTGACATTTTTATGTCACAGATCATACATGCTTCAAACATGAAAAAATGTCTGTAACATTGGAATTATTTCAGTTTGGGCTTATTTGAATCAAATTTACAAATCAAATTTGCTCTGTATGCAAACAAGTTAAAATATGCATTTGTCAACAAAACAAATTTGATGTTGGATTAAGAATTCTTTGTAAAAATAAAGTAAATTATATTGGCCTGCCCCTGAAATTGTAGAACTTAGTGCCATTAAAATCAATGAATAGTCCTTAAATGGTTTTAGTGAAGAACGTACAGGAAAGCTTTCCTCATATTTCTACTGTTCCTATGGCAACCATATTGGTGAGTGAGTGAGTGAGAAGTGCTCAACAACATTTTCCCCAGTAATCTCAAACCATATCACAACTGTGACCATGGGACGTGGTGATTTGAAAGTGGGTCTCAGCATGACAAAGAACCACTTGGCCTGGGCTAATCCCCCTCCAAAAACACCGAAAATTGTTTCTAATGCTGATACATAAAAACTACATACAGATCTAGTGTTAATTGAAAATATTCAATTCTTGTTTCTACATTTTGCTAATGAAAAAAGAACAAAATATGACTAACTTCATAAATGAGTAAGTATGGCCAAATAAAAGCTAAATAGCTAAAATTGAAAATGGTACCAATTTGATTCTTACAAAAGTTCTCGCTTGATTTCTGATACACTTAGCACTTGATCTTGTGAAAGATTTCATAGTCAGTACCCAATGTGAGATGTTGAAACTGGACCCTTTAACTTGAGCCATTACATTGTCAGTTAAATGTGAAAAAAGACAGCACAGACATAATCAGTGAGGCCCAGAACTAAGAACCTAATACCGAGTTCTCGCTATCCAACTTTACAGTTATTTGGACGGGTCAGGCAATTGTCAAAAAGTTGGATTCGGTCCAAAACCGGGTCTGGACCGGTTCGGTGAATGGCGGTAATATTGCTGAGTGAGTATATTTCGTGACAAGTTGTAGTAGAAATTTTACAACCTCGCAGAAATATAATCAATCATGTAGCATGTGTACATGTTTTAGCAAATTAAACTAGAATATTGGCCACGAACATTACTTTTTGCGCCTAAACGTTACCCTAGCAACGGAATCCGAACTACACAAACGAAATGTCAAAATGTTTCTTGCCATTTTAGAATGGAAAATAGCACAGGCAATCAATAATTCTGCCTGTAACATAAACCTGGATCATATACTCACATAATAATCACTCAGCCACTTTTCTAGCTTATCCTGTAGAACTGTAAAAGTCCCAATATTCACCAATCGTCTCAACGAGTCCGCCATTTTCCAAGCTTCCCTTACAACCGAATGCTCGTCTGCTGGCGCATGCGTTCAATAACGGGCCCCTGATATCACGTGACATAGCTACCGCAATCACTCGAGCATATTGAGCGATAAGCACGATCGTTACGGCTATTTTGTAAAAGAAGAATTGGTTAATTAAGAACAAAATAGAAAGAGGATTATTTACAGACCATTTACCTAATAACAATTGTCTAGAGCTCATGACATTTACAAAGGAAACTATTAGTTTGAAATAGTATGCTACCATTGACAAAATGACAAATCTGTTTCTAACGGGCTTTATACTTAATCCACTTGAGTGATCGTTTATATATTATATTGTGTCTTAGCCGATTGTTTAATGCGATTGCATATTGAACATTAACATACAGATAATTTTTATTTTTTTTATAACAGAATTGCATGATTTTGTACATTTTCGTTATAAATTTCTTTTAAACAAATGCTTTAATGGACCCATGAAAAAAAAAAGTTTTTTTAAATCAGTAGGATTCATCAAAAGGTAGTATTCGATCTGTAACTACATGTAGTATCAAAATCTAGTTATATTTAAAAGCATATTTCACAACACAATAATTTAACTACCCTCCCTACCATGTTTACATGTATGTCTTTCGTTTAAAGGAACGACACTATGAGTAACCTGTTTTTATACATTATCAGTGCGATAATTTCTACCGACTTTTCAATGTAGTTCAGGTATGCCCGATATACTCCAGTGTTGCGAGGGGCGGCGGAAAATGGGAAAGTACAAAGGTAGAATTTACTCTTTGACATGGCTGGGCGGTCTGCTGACACATTCCCGTAAATCAAACAAATCAACAATACACCGCTCCCACCCGCGTTAAGGCTATATGTAAATGTAGATGTATTGTATACTCTTTAGAGACCATACTTATCAATGTGTTTGCTCACTATCGCTCTTACTTCAGTGTTTGACGCTATGTAATCTAACGGTAAAGTGTGTCGGGGGAGATTGTTGAGTATTGAACTCCCCGGTCTGTTTACTCGAGTAAACGGGGAGCTGTGCGTTTACTCAGCACGCCTTGGAATATAAACGTCAGTTTTATGTCACTAATAAAGTTTCAAATTATTTTATTCATGTGTATATACAACAAAATATGTAATAGTGTGCTTTTATACTGCATTGACTTCAACATGGCTTCGTGAAGAAGAGACGAGTCTTTTTACAATAACAGCAATGTAGAGATGAAGATAAACGCTTACGACATTTATAAATGAATCTAAATATGGTTACAGTTAATCAGTTATTGTTTGAATGTTGTTTGCTTCATATGGAGTTTTTCAATAAATTCAAATGTGTGGCTTCTAATAACATACCACTGGAACGTTTCTGAATAATACTTCCTGACAAAGTTATTAGCACTGGAACACACCATTTGTTGACAGGTCTAAAGTGAAGTACCGGAAAAAAATCGTAACGATGATACCAGGCACCTATCTCATCTTATATTGTACCCTGGAGTCCCAATAAGTTAATTGGTTGTTTGTTTTTTATGCCGCACACAGCTGTATTCAAGCCACAACGCGGTGACCTGTATATATTCGAGTCTGGACCAGACAATCCAGTGATTGGGCATCCATCAACGGACGAAGCCGGAGTATCCCGCGCAATCAACCAAGTCACTGAACCTGACCAACCGATCCTCTTTAACCGGGACCTACGGTCAGTATGATGAACAGGGGGCTATCTCTACCCATCTCATTTAAAATAAGATCTAAATGCTCGCTACAGCTACTGTGCAGATTGCTGAGATGGCCGGAATCCTAACGGGGATAACAATCAAAAAGTCCACTTTAGGAATAATGTTAAGTTTCATAAATGAATTACCACCCATACATATAACGTTGAGTATTTTTTGTGAACGTTTATTGGGAAGGCGGGAGTGAATGCGGTTTTCCGCGCCTCGGTGATTTCGACATGCAGGTGAACCCGCGTTGACCAATTACGAGGTATAACCCAAGTGGACCATGGTTGACAAATGTTAGCACATGTTAACTGATTTGAATTAAGTTGTTACAGCTAGCTGGTTTAATTAATTGATTCAATTATGAATGAAAGCAGTTGAATGATTTGTTTGATGTTGTTTGTTATTCCAGAGTAACAGCGGAACCAGTAACCATAACCCTCGATTATCCAGTGTATTTCATGTCCATTCTATAACAGTACCCTGAACACATTCCACATTTGGCAAGTGAAATCATATCGCCATGTCAGAAATATTCCAGCTATATGACGGCGGTCTGTAAATACTCTAGACCAGACAATCCACTGATTGACATCATGAGCATCGATCTACGCAATTGGGATACGATGACATGCATCAACTAAGTCAGCGAGCCTACCCACCCGAACCCGTTAGTCGCCTCTTACGATAAGCATAGTCGCCTCTTACGACAAGCATAGCATGGGATCCTGAAGACCTATTCTCCGGCATTTAACTTTTAATAATCGAAAGCAATATTATCATCTTCTTCACATGGACATGTTCATGACACTAAAAGACAATAACACCCAAACTGTCAGTCAGTATCAATTGACTTGATGTCAAGATTTCAGTAAATAATCCCTATAGAATGTTATCAGCATAAAAATAAAAAAATAGTCAAAGGGAGATAATTTCAATTACAAGTTGGTTGCCTACTCTTTCTATGGGCCTGTTTGGCTCAGTCTCGTGATTATATTTATGCTTCTTCACCTATCTGTTCCACCCGACAGTCTAGATGAGTTGACTCACCCGTCATCCTACGTTTCTGAAGCACTTGTAGCGTTCAATGTGACGTGTATTATTATGTATATTTTTATGACAGCCTATGTGTAATTTACGTACATACAAGTTAATTAGTTTTGGTCATAGCTCTGTAGCATCGATTATTTACAGCTTGAATATTGTTGAGTGGGGCGTTAACCAACTACCCAACCAACAAACAGACAGACACACTTTTAGAATACGTTAAGTATTATAGAAGCAATATATCACTTTTCCCGAGCCAATGTTCAATGATCGTGGGCGAGTCAATTTCATGTGATACCAAACCAGTTTTCCATTCCGCAATTTCCCGGTTCGTGAATATCTAATTCTTGCAGAAACATTCGTGTTATCCCGGGACTCGTGTTATCCCGGGACAAGAGCTTCTTGTTGGTTACGGAAAGGGGCTAGTGGTGACGAATGTTGCGGCCATAGATTTCTGTATACTGAGTTCCATCTAGGATAGATTTATGTACTACCTCATACGCGACAAAGACCCCTGCAGCCTCAGTGACAGCGATGCTATCTTAACAGTAAGTTCTCACGAAGGCGTCTCTCGCTGGGAAGCTTGTTAGGTAAAGGTCAAAGGGATACAACTCAACAGTTTCATGCACTCTCCTGAGTTATTTTGTAAAAAAACCCAAAACAAATGCATGCTGAGAGGACACGGTTATGGTTTCATGGGCCGCACGCCGACGATTTCAGTTTCATTTGGGTCCCCTTGATTTATTCCTTTACCTACTTACTACACCGATACGACTCATTTGACGCGAGGACCGTACCGTTAATGGTCAAAGGGAAGTAACTGAAAATCCCGTTTACCAGTTGCTAAACACAGTTACCTCCCTTTGTGATAAGGGACATAACTCTTGCTTTGTTGTACGCGATTAGCTCCCTTTGATTGAAGGTACACGCCGTGTGTGAAGTTTAAAGCGAGACACTGTGCGGAGTTAAGGCAAAGGACTTAGCACGATTCAAACACGATTACTCCCCTTTGACCAAAAACAAAACAACTACTGATTACCCCGAGGACCTTTCCGATGCGTTTCTTCCATGCCAAATCCATTTTTAGAAGAAAAAAATCGTATCATGGAGGAGCCCATGTAGTATTAAAGTTCAGGGCTTGAGATGATTCGAGACCAACTCGTGTTATATTGGGACAAGGTTCTTGCAGGTTACGTAATGGGCCAAGTGGTGACGAATGAGACCATCAACCTCGTTTTGATATAGTATAACCTTGACCTTCCCGTGTATTTTGTAATCATGATCATGGCGACTGCTTACTTGTTGATGACATTTCTTTCAGGTGAGTTCAGAAAGCCGTTTTACTGGCGATACTTCTGCCAATATATTACATGGAAGCACATTGCGGCAAATAACTAAAAGATATGGGGCATTTATGGATGTCAACAATCATAATTCACAGTTTTGCTATCCTTATATCATCAGTGATACGTCTTTGCCGCCTGTGACTAAACGGAGTTTTTAGGGAGGGAAAGATATATAATAATACATTACATATAATAATTACAACCTACTGAAAACCTAACTGTATACGTAAGGGGACGAGTTTCTCGCAATGTTTCTTTAAGGTTACTCATACATCCGCTGTTCGGAACATGTGACGAGAGCCTGACAAAGACACCATTGTTTTGTTCAGTTGCACACTGCAGCAACCACACAACCATGACCGCAGACAGCGACACGTGTGAAGCCAAGTCAGAAAAGTGCGCCAACATGACGGAGGTAGTACACATCGTATTCATGAATGGAGACTTCAGGTCCATTGTGTCGGATGAGAAACTGCGGCTAGATTGCAGGTGCGTTAACTTGTAATACAGACCTATACTTGGGCCAAGACATTACTAATGGCTGGAAGTGAACATACTGTTTTTTCTACAGAAAATTATCGATGAGAGCTGAAGTAGTTTGAACCCTTAAATGTAAAAGAATTTGCTTTTTGTTGTCAGTAGCCTTATATTTCAGAGCTTTACCACTTAAAACAGAATAAATTAATTAATGAATTAATTTCTTTATTTCCTTCAGAATGTACATCGGAAGATATGCAATATCTCACATATTCCTAGGGCAAATGCATAGCCCTAGTATTTACACGAATAGGTGCATTATTAACACAAGATATATACATATATATTCATCATCAACCAGCATTAGAAATTGGCACTAGTCCTGTAGTCCTTGCCAAACTAACTAGTTAAGGTATCATAAGGACTAGCAGAAATATGCCCTTTTTCAGGCTTTTGCCATATGTTATCATTATAAGGACCAAAAAATATGTTAGTTTCTACGCTGTCAACTATGTACAAAAGTGAGAACTATTGCTATGCAACTTAAATAAACTGGGGATAAAAATCCAATACCTTTTCTCAAAATTAAATATTTTCATTACAGAATATTAATGATATGATTCCCCAAGTACCCTGGTTCATAATTCCAGATTGTATTTTAACTTAGCCCCAGAATAATACGAGCATATCAATATTCCCTTCCAGAAGTTCAATTTGAATATAAATTTCAACCTTCACTTTGTCAATGAGGGTGGAGAAGAATTCATTTCGATCATTTGTAAAATATTCAAAGTGTAAAAATACATGTCGGTCATAATCAAAGGCATGTCTGCCATATTTAGAACATTCCCTTGATGTAATGGGTCCCAAGAGAGTATTGGATTCACTCTCTGAGATGATGATACGAGAAGTTTGTGCTAGTTTCAATAGTAAATGTAGTTTTGAGTGAATGATCTGTACCTGTGTTTCGACTGATCTTTCCCATACAAGGATATAGCATCACAATTCTTCTCCATTCAATTTTGTAAGGAAATATTCCAGTACTGATACAGTTTAAAATGACATTTTTAAGGTTATAATTTACATAAAGTTAATATCATTGTGCCACATATGCTAGTGCAAGCTTTTGGGTGAGTTGAGGTGAAATGGGGCTTAAGGTCACGTCCAAGAGTATTGCACTTTTGGAGGTACGTGCATGCAAGTGTGTGTGTGTGTGTGTGTGTGTGTGTGTGTGTGTGTGTGTGTGTGTGTGTGCTTGTACTAGTCCGCACTAATGCCGACTTTATAGTGCTAGTCCACCATGTCACAGTTTAACATGAATACCCTGACTCAGGACACAGTATACTGACTCTGTCCTTGTTTTACCCCCTAATGCCGAGCCCCAGGCAGGATAACAACAAGTACCATCGTTTAACGTTATATTTGATGCCACCATATCAAACCTTCCACTCTCTGGCCGATGCTTTACCACAAGACCACGGAGGCGGTCGTTACTTTTGATATGGACATTGACTGGGGCTAAGAATGCACATATAATATGTTTCATAGCAGAGTACCATTAGTTTGTACACAGTTTCCGAGGAGTTGCAGCCTGCATTTGTCAATGTATCCTGTCAGTGTCCACATTCCAAGATTCGCTATGGTTGAATTGGTTGACGACTTTTGGTCAACACCTTGAATGACTCTGGCAAAGTGCAGTTAAATTTTATTAACACCATGACCATTTAACAGTGTATCACAGATCCCTGTCATAGATTAATTGCTGCTACATCCGTTCCTTCATATTAATTTTTGTCTGTTCGCGACCTTATCAAGTTTTAATAATGGAGTATTATATGAAGCAATCATAAAATACCACGACCGAAAATATTCATTTGTTTTGAGAGAAAAAATCCGCGTTTAATCAGTTTTACACAACATTCATAAAATATGTAATAATGAAGTACATATATTGATTCTTAGAGACTTTTCTTTTCGATAATTAAGATTCAAATTCGCTGGGTATTTTCACTTCTACAAATTGACACAAAAAGCGTCAGCATTTCTGAGTTGAAAGATGGCAAATTAGATGGATAACAACTTCTCTATTTTACTGTAAAGGCAACGTCTCGGACAGGTCCTTATACCATTGTCAAGCAAGGCTGAATAATGAACATGGTATAAGGATCTATACCTCAGTAAAAAAAGTTGTGATCCATAAATTGTGTCTATTTTGCCAGTGGAATTTGCTGTAGAGATAAATCTTGTATCCGAGCCCCAATCATTCACTCCCTGCCTCTCTCCAACATGATTAACGTTTCACGATTGACGTTTTGTCCCATCAGCTTCTTCAAGAAGTGTATTCGGGAGACAGGCCCTGACAACCACAAACGGGCAAGATAGTACTCGATAGTTCACGATTTACAGTATTCAGACAGTCCAATTTTTTAACTGAACTGAACTTATTTCATTTAATGATTCTGTCATTACATAATTATATAATTAGGGAGCAACCAATTGAATTTCGGGGATGGGTGTCTATAAAATGAAGCAAGCCTCTCTTTTAATGAAATAAATTTACGCATGACAGATTGTGTACCCCTTTTTTGCAGAAATGTTTCCAAAGAATACAGTTTGATATTTATATAAATATATAAATAAGAAAATGAAATAGTTGCCCTTTACTGTTTCGGTTTCTGCAGTGAAGAGTACAGAGAGGACGTGCAGCTGTGCACCAAGCACGTCAGGTCAGAGTGTGGGGACAAGGCCAACCACCTCCGTCTGTTTGAGTTCGCCTACGACTACATCTGCAACAGGAAACATGGTAAGTCTTTTACCCGCCCACTCATACACATTTCCTCCATCAAGAGCTCGGCTGTCGCGCTGTTTTATGTCCCAAAGCGTAATAGTGGTTGGCAGTGTCAGCTTCCATTCAGGAGTACAATGACTCACTCTGTGGGGCTTCTTGGCTAGATCTGATCCAAGCAGCCTACACTGGTCGCAGGATCGGTGGTCAGGCTCTGAGACTTGGCTGACTGCCAGTCATGGACCCCGACTGCGTGTAGTTTTGCTCATACTATCAGTCACTGATTTGGCAGGTCCAGTCTCAATTATTTACAGGCCCCGATGATATAACCAGAATATAACGCCAGGTAGCCAACTAGCCGGTTGGTGCAGGTGCCTTTTCAACAGGACAATGTGAACCTTTTAGCGTCACATGCCTGCTTGGGTTGTGTACTCCCTTGGAAGCCCAAAATGAAAATCGAGTGTGAACTTATGCGTTGACCTGTGTAAAAAATAATCATCAATGTCGTCTGAGCCCATTTTTGTCTGTTCTAAAAAATAGCATGGAAGCGTTACTTTCTCTCAGCCAGATGTAGTTAAGATCTACCAATAAAAAACATTTTTGATTTAATGGTAGATTTCATTGAGGCTGAGGAATGCATACACAGCAAAGACTTCACGAACGTCCTACTCCACTGTGTTAAGGAATTCAACAAAGGTGAAGCGGGCATGTGCAGGTAGGTGTGAGTGACTGACGTGAAGTGGAAGTAGGGAGCATCCATTTGTTTTTTCTTTGGGTGGCAGGATGTGTGTTGGAGAACAATCTGTTTTTTCACATCTGTATCCAACAAACGTTATATACTGAGAACCATCAAACCATCTTTTCATCTTCATTATCAACACAAACAATACAAACTATTCATTATATTCACAACGACCAAGAAACTCATTTTTGGCATATTTCTGAGCAAACAAAACTTTGAAACAAAATCAAATGGATGCTCCTTAAATTGACAGGTAGAGTGCTGTCACGCAACACCATGATAGAGGCGAACTCGGCTGTCTGTAGTTTGATGAGAATTCAAATAATGAAACACAGTGAGTCTTTTAATTAATGATGCAGTGATCCAAACCCTTGTAATCCAAACCCACGACAACGGCAGTTAGAGTGCTTCAACATTTGTCCACCGCTCCCAGAATGTTTCGAAATTTGTTCCTGGAAAAGAATCAGCAGAACGAAATGGTGCTGTCACATATCGTGGTACAAAAGCTAAGTTATATGCAGCAAAGAAAAAAACGGAAAGAAAAGTTCTTATGAAACATCTTATATTCGCTACCATAGTCTGTGTCCTAGGGCTTGGCAATGCTGTGTCAGCAGATTTGTTTTGTGAAGGATACAGTGATACCTGGTGCTTCAGGCAGTGTGAATAAGGTGTTTTTCTAAAGTAGATACGGCATTTAGAATTTATGGAACTACACTGAAAGACCTACAAGATTCTATATCTTTAAATACATAAACTGATGACACACTTGTCCACGCGAATCTTGTGATACTCTCGCGACTGTCATGCAGACATATTCGTTCTAAGTAGTTAGCAATGATTGATTTCATTCCGGACATCAGTGTCAAGTCGCAGTTTTATTGCTTTCTACCATGAGCATAATAAAAGTTACCGTATTTCCTCTATTTGAAGCAGAACCTCCAATACACGCTTGCCTCTAATGACGCCGGGTCTCTGATACTGTGATATGTTGCAATCTCATTAAAATCAGATCTCAGGTCATGCTACTGCTGAACAAATATACGAGGACATCCCATTACGGGTCATGTCACAGCGACATTCCATCCGACCAATCAGAGAGTCGCTTACCAGATCGGGAAAGTGACAGTTGAAATGTGTTTTTTAATCATGTCACCTTGGAAATGTTAACACGGTAATTCCAAACGACAGTTATGGACTGTACGACTGATTCTGCTTGTCACCTCGCTTCAATTGGATAAACATTTGAAACGGACTTTTCCGTAGCCCGTGGGAAGTACTGCTAATCACGGCCATCTATTAGATATTCCCGAATTTCCTTAGTTCAGTTTTCAAATATTTAATCGAGAGGTTTTTCAAAGCGTAGTCTGAAATTGAAGTCGCTACTTTGAAACTAGTGCCGTAAAGCTCGAGAAGAGTTGCTTATTTATTGGCTAATGCAGGGTTAGAAACTAACAGTTTTTGTCCACTAGTCCTTATAATGATAACATAATTATAGCAAAACCCTTAAAACGGGCCAATTTCTACTAGTCCTTAGGATACCTTTACTATTGGGCAGTTTGGTAAGGACTACAGGACTAGTGCCAATTTCTAACACTGCATTACTAATGTCGACTTCCTGTTAGTCATTTCATTGGCCGGTCAAAGTAGACCTGTTATAGGATTTTCCTCAGATCTTTGTTTAGCGGTAGCGAGCACTTAAATCTGATTTAATGCGATTGTGATATGTTGGTGATTAATAACGACCGTTTCCTGCAAATGCACCCTTTGTATGGCCAGAATTTTGAATTAAAGTGGTTAGTTAAATTTCCACTGAGGCAGCTTCACATAGAAGAGACACCGGGCTCTGATAGACGCCGGGTCAACGGCTTGCGTGAAATTAATAGACGCTCGGGCGTCTTATAGATAAAATACGGTACATTAGATCTCGTCACTTTTCAGCTGCAAAATTGACGATGAGATGTAAGATTGCAACTCACTCAAATTAGATTGTGAAAGACGCTGTTGTATTCGAGGCGCGAGTGAGTGGGTGGCTAGGGTCTTGCGCCGCCTATTAGGGTTGGGGGCACAACTAAATTGGCTTCAACCATGTATCCACGAGAGAGACCATGGGCCTGTTCCACTAAGGGATGTTAACGCTACAACTGTTGTAAATCATGGTTGTTATGATCGTCTTAGCGCTGAGATCGGATTGTGGATCGGGTTCGGGTTCCTCTGCGTGACGAGCAAAAGCTTTAACCTCTGGGTTGCTGCCCTGTGGCCACTTAACACAGCCGAGCAAGAAGTGATGCAGCTGATATTGCGGGATGCTATGGACTAGTATTGTCACCAGTCATATAGTTTTAGCCTTATTGGCTGTACGTTCTATTCATTTAACAGGGGGTCTATATCATATCAAACCCGTGAAGATCCGTGTTGGAATTGGTCTTAGGAAACCCATGCTTGTCATAAGAGGCGACTAACGTGATCGGGTGGATTGTCTGGTCCAGACTCGATTATTTACAGACCGCCGTTATATAGCTGAAATATTGCAACATTTACAACAAACAAAATATATCATATCAAGAGATGCAATGGTAAATTACGAGCGATTTTAGATTTCCGAATGTGTTGGTCGGGAAGGATATGGAATTTAAAACGTTTAGTGAAAACTGAGTGAATACATTGTACAACCTTCGACACTTCCACACAGTGGCTCAGTCACTCATTGTCTCTTCCACCTGACATAAGCTTAGCACCTTTATGTCCCCAGTCACCCTGACACTATTCTAAGTAAACCCTCTTACATCTTTTATCTTTCAGTTTGTTCTAGTCTTTCAGCTTGGTATACCTGAAAAACGAAATCTACAAACCTAGTTTCTTAATTTCTTAATCATTCATATTCTGACCATGTGCTTTGGGGCACACTCTTTAATGTTGAGTTATCTCCCTTTAGAGGTACAAAAACGTGGAACGCAATGCGGAATGTAATTACCGAGACATGACAACACCTACGCTCATAGGAACAACTCGACTATATTTCAACGCAGGTTTGTTTTACTTTCAGCGACTATCCAGCCTGCATAAAACGTAGACTCTCTCGGTCTAAGGACTGTTCAACCGAGGACGCGAGGACCATTGGAGGATTGTTGAGAGGTGCAATGATAAGAAAACACATGCACTGCCAGCACCTGCCGGACTGACTGTACAGATTCTGCTGCATGTGATGGAAATAAAACGTCTCGTTTATTATTTTTGTAAATGTCATTTATGAATGAGTTGAGTTTGACATCCAGTTGAACTATGTGCCCGTTATTTTAGAGTCTTTAGGGTATTTTATCAGCTAAATGTCAGAGGAAAGCCAAAGGTTAAGCAGGTTATAAAACATAATAAGACGTTTACCACATTGGTTAAACGTACGAGCACAGTTACGGTGCTGTAAAACCCAGCACTATAATCAGGGCTATACTGATTATAGGATAAACAGTTAAATTATGGAACTTGTTGTTACCATGCCTGACGCTCGGCATTAAGGGCTAAAACAAGGACTGGTCTGCTCGGAGTTGGTCTACCGTGCCTTAGTGGTTTAAGAACAAGAGGTAAACCGCGGTATTATATCTTAGTGGTCTAGCACCATAAAACCGGCATTATCCCGCATTAGTACCACACACACACGCCCCACTATATAAGTGCTGTAATCTTGAACGCGAAGTCAAACCCTTTTGTGTTAATTGTGACAATGAATAGATTGTTTGATAGTTCTCACTACAGAAATAGTTTGACAGATGCAGCTGGAAAAAAATAGATTGTTCTGAAAAATATTCCCTACAGATCAAGAGGATCTCATAACTATCTCATCCTACCGGGTACCAAATCAATGTGTGAACAGAAGAATATTTGGAACCAAGTCACTTGCCTAAAGAGCCAAGCACAAGTGCTACACGTGTTTCAGTGAGGGCAGGGACAAAGCCCAAGAAACTCAAAGAGTTAAGGTGCCAAACACTTTTACCCCTGCATTTACTCTTCGCGACCAGCGTTGCTTAACTTGACCTGATTAGTGAGATGAACCCGATGACAGGACCACGTGCCACCACCACGTGGTGATCCGCAACGTTCTCTTTCGTTAAAAGCAGTTTTGCAGATGTATTCATTCAGCATATGTCATGGGGTGTTTGTTGTTTATTTGTGTACAGAGAAGGATAATTATGAAGGCCTGAAAGAGTCCTTTGACTATTACGTTATTTCACCCAAATCACTCTCACTTTTAGCGGGTCTAATTAAGTCGGGTTCATAACTGTGAGAATCGACTAATGACGTCGTGACATCACAGAGCTCTAATACATCCGGGTCAGGCTCGCTGTCCAGGTGGTGAACCACACATGCTTTATCATAGCTCGGCCATATTGCGTCTGACCACATGGTCCCCGTGTTTTCGTTACTCTGTAGGACGAGCATTAGACTGCTGGGAATAATCTTCAAGTTGATTAATGGAGACAAAACATCAGTATGATCAAACAAATATCAAACTCGCCAAGAAGCACATCTGAGTTGAACTTAATTGACATGATTAGTGAGCACTTACTCTTATATGGGATTTAAAAGCCTTAACTCTGTAGTGTAAGGGGGGTTGTAGAACAAGCCACCCGTGAAGACCCGGGGTAGAATAGGTCGTCAGCAACCCACGCTTGCCGTAAAGGCGACTTTGCTTCTCGTAAGAGTCGACTAACGGGATCGGGTGGTCAGGCTCGCTGATATGGTAAAAGCATGTCATCGTGTCTCAATTGTGTAGATCGATGCTCATGATGTCAATCACTCGATTATCTGGTCCAGACTCTATTATATACAGACCGCCGTCACCTAGCTGGAATATTGCTAAGTGCGGCGTTAAACATCAATCAAACAAAATGTAGAACAAGCAGGGGCATGTCTATGGTGTTTGACTTTTTTTTAATGTGTTTGTTTTTGTTGAACTCTAGATCCCATCTATAAGAGGACGGCCTGTAAATACACTAGATAAACCAGTGATTGATATTATGAGCAACGTCCCACACCATCAAGGAAGATGACCGGAATCAAACAAGTCATCAAGCCTGTCCTACCGATCTGTTAAGTGAACCACAAGCAGAGGATGCTGGAGACCCGGAATCCACACTGTCTTGGAAATCGCCCCTGGCAGTAACTGATGATTTCTAATGAATGTGACCCACCCGTACCTGTAGAGTTGCAGTCTTGTCGTGTCCACCATGATCGGAAGCGTTACAAAATATTTGAAATGTGGATGACTATAAGTGCCTGTGCTGAATCAACGTTCTTGTGACCAAAACCACAACCAGGTCTTAGGTGTTCGTCATTTTAGACTTCCTTCCCATGTTCTGATTTAATAGAAGTACTACTCAAAGCGACTATGCTTGTCGTAAGAGGCGACTAACGGGATCTGGTGGTCAGGCTCGCTGACTTGGTTGATGCATGTCATCGATCCCAATTGTGTGGGTCGACGCTCATGTTGTCAATCACTGGATTGTCTGGTCCAGACTCGATTAATCACAGACCGCCGTCATATAGTGCGGCGTTAAACAACAAACAAACAAAACTACTCAAAGCGAGCATTTTGTTTCTCTTGGCTGGTATTGTGTACAACCCCAAGTTACTAAACTGATGACGCTGGGATATCTTGCAGGAAGCTGATGCACCGTAAGTCCCCATGATCCCCAGCGAGGTGGCCCTGCTTTGGTTACTGGTGACACAGGGGCTTTTAACGCAAAACGTAGCAGGACGATATATACGGTGACTAACGGGGTCACGATACGATACGATATAAAAGGATAGTACTATGACCCCGTTTGTGACAGAATCAAGTTCTCGCTATGTTCCTGAAATAGTGCCGATGGGACACTGTCTCACACTCACTACTCAAGCGGCGTTAATCCAACTTAAAGACTTGAGCAGGGGGCTTCACAAGAAAAACCTCTACTTCCTGGTGGCATCTGTAAAGTGTCAAATTCCCGGTAAAAACGTACTTCGAGTGTCCGTGAACTAAGAATGCCTGCGGATACAGATTCACAAGTCAGTTTCGTGTTATGACACTCGCTCCCACTCCACGCCTCTGTGCTGAGTGAGTTAGTATGGTTTTACGCCGATTTTAGCAATATTCCAGCGATATGAAGGCGGGGGACACCAGACTTCACACGTTGTACCCATGTGGAGAATCGAGCCCGGGTCTTTGGCGTGAAGAGAAACACCTTTAACCACTAGGCTACCCCACCGCCCTAGGCTTCATTAAGTAAACCCAATCTCACTTTTCCCCGATAAAAATATTTTTTAAATTGATCAAATATCCTAAAAAATCAAACATGACTGAGTATATTTCATAAATCAGTAATAACATTCGACCTCGATCCGTATAATGTCGAAAAGCCTAATTCCAAATGTAGTCTCTTGTAGTCTCATTTACAGAAAGGAAACATTTCTTCAGTTCGAAAGTAATTTCCACCCAGTCTCGTACTTTTCCAAATGATACATTTTCCAACTAGCAATGAACGACACAATTCACGCGGATCAAGTGAGTGAGTTTAACACCGCTTTGAACAATATTCAAGCATATCACAGCGTGTCAGCTCTATGTGGCAGGAAAGCCCGAAGTGATACAGTTCTCAGACGTTTACCACCTTGGTGAAACCCACGAGCATGGGTATGGTGCTGACAAACCTAGAACCAATCGGGGCGAACCGGGATTCGAATCCACGATCGTATGTTCCTGGCGGACCTAAGCCTAATCCTTTGACGAATGGGTAACCCATGCCCCAGTTGATCAAGAGTTCTCTTAACCATTTTATTTACATATGCGGATCAACATTAGCAACATACTGTTCCTACACATGTGTCTATTCTCCAGATCCATGGCGCCAAAGGAAGTAGACGAGCAAGAGGAACATGATCTTGAAACAAACGTCACAAACTCGATCACGATTTCTATCGTGGGCTTTAGCTGATGGTGTATCACTTTGGTAGACGTGATATTTTATCACGTTATTTTGGCTGTCAATACAGCTTTGAAAAACAGTGTAATTAAATTTTTCTACATTTTTTTAACCTTGGCGCTGAGTGCCCTTCACCGGTTTCTGCATCCAGCGCCAGCTAATCGCGAGCCCCAGACGTGTGTACGGGGGTGGTCTGAAGAGGCCCCTTTGCTGTATGACATAACCTCCATCTCAATTTCTCCTACAGTGCATTTCGGATTCTATAAATAAAAGCGACAAAACCCATTCCATAACCAAAAGTAACCACTCCCTTAATCAGATTCCATTAGACTATATCATGAGCATATGTTCATGAATCCCTATCAAATAGTGATGATACCATGTGTTCGAGAAAAGGTAAGCTAATTTAATTCAACTTAAATGGGGAAGTTTAACCAAATTAAACCTTTGCCTGTCACATATGTCTGACTACAGACACACTCATTGTTAAGTATTTTGTAGGAAACTGTTTCGTGGTGTTATCGATCAGTTTGAGCTACACAGTTGGTTATGCCCATGCGAGGCTGTAGAACGCCAAGCCATGTTATCCGGTAGGCCTCCCTTCCCCTGAGCTCACACCATGGCGTGTTCTTGCATAAACTACCCTCCCAACGTTGCGTTTCTATGCATAACCCAAACCAACCAACAATTTGAAATTCAGCGTATGTTTCACGCTGATAATTATTGTACAGTTATATAACTGTATATTTCACTTTTATAATTATTGTACAGGATTAAGATTCAAGAATTATTGTCCTCCACATATGTTGTGTTAAGGGAATACTTTTGCGGTTTAGTTTAAGAACGCGAATACTATTGTTTGATAACGTTTGTCAGGTATATTTGATTATTATAATGGATCAATGGTTCGAGGTCAATAGTTATTTTCCTCTCGGCGGAAGGTCCGGGGTTCGATCTCCGGCCGCGTCATACCAAAAGACGTTAAAAGATGGTACTTGTTGTTACCCTGTCTGGTGCTCGGCATTAAGGGGCTAAGAAAAGGACTGGTCGGCTCGGAGTCAGTATACTGTGTCTGAGTGGGGTATTCAAGTGAAACTGCGGCATGGTATCTCAGTGAGCTAGCACGATAAATCGGCATCAGTTCGGACAAGTACAAACAGCCACACACACGAGCATGCACGTCGCTATTTAAGTGCAATAATCTTGGACGCGACGTTAAACCCAATTTCACCTCACCTCACCTTATTTTCCTCTCGCCTACACTGTATGTTGTGTTTTTAGGATGCTTTGGATATTTTTGTATCACAAAGTGATGATGTACGATCAGCATGTACGATAACAACTTGACGGCTGCCCTGTTCGGGGGAACGCACTTTATACCCTGCGTGAATGCCGTCTACCAAAGATGAGGCCATTATAGAATTTGAAAAGCGAACATGATTTCTTTATTCTCGGGTGTCTCTAATGTCAAGGTTTTCAATTCCTAAAAGGAATTTTGCTTGCAGCAGAACTGAATGGTCGTGTCTGGGTTATTCAGTCGTGTTTGCTGGTCCAAGATTGGCTAAACATGACGCGCTGTATGGTGCCTTACGTCGATGTTGCAGTCAGTGTTTGATAAATATCGATAACGTTTGTACTTGAAACAGTCCATACAGGACGTACGTTTCATTTATGTGTACATCAGAATGGAAGCGGTGAGGTGAGGTGAAGTGGGGTTTAATGTCGCGTCCAAGATTATTGCACTTATATAGCGACGTACATGCACGTGTGTGTGTTTGTGTGTGTCTGGTAGCTTTTACTAGTCCTGACTGATGCTGATTTATAGTGCTAGTCCACTGAGATACCATGCGGCAGTTTAACGAATACCCCACTCAGACCCTCTATACTGACTCCGAGGCGACCAGTCCAAATTTTAGCCCTTTAATGCGGAGCGCCAGACAGGGTAACAAGTACCATCTTTAACGTCTTTTGATATGACGCAGCCGGGGTTCGAAACCCGGACTTTCTGCTCCCCGGGCGGACGCCTTGCCACTCGACCACGGAGGCGGTCATTTCTCCAAAGAACCAGCATATAACACAGTCATATTTCATTAAAAAAAACAAATTATGAAAATACAATGTTGCACGAAAGATCCTGATCATGTTCATCCTGGTATCAATTAAGAATTGACTTTCACTTTGTGTGAGTTCCTTGAACTCACACAAAGTGAGAGTCAATTCTTAAAACAATTTATATCACTATTTTTACGTCAAAGAACGTAGATCTATACACACTTAAATTTAGTACGTGTGACTTCATGTTTACAACAACCAGCTGTATCGCGGAATGAAATAGTTCCTCAAAACGAGAAGTGACATGAGCTTATGTATGCTCAACAGGGACAGCGTTTGTAGTTTCTGTAAACAAATGTACTCAAAGATGGGAAAGGTCGTTTAAGAACTACCTCGGTAAGTCAGTCACAATGACAGCGCGTCCGCGATACAACTGGCTGTTGTATGGCTATCAGCGTAAACATGACTTCTCATGGACACGCCAGAAACCTGTGATTGTGGTTTTGAATCCTAGTTCGCCCCGATTAGTTTTCACGGTTTGTCAGCACCATTCCCGTGCTCGTGGGTTTCAACAAACGACTGAGACCTGCTTCTTTAATTCGGGCTTCCCTCTCACATTAATCTGACACGCCGTGATATTATGACTGGCAAACTGTTCAAAGTGGCGTTAGAATCAACTCCCTCTTAAATAGACACGACTTAGTTCAAGTTACAGTCTGGACAAAACAAACGATTACACTTGTTGCATGGAGACAACATCTGAATATTTGAGAAATCAGTAATCATTAGGTCATTATTCACAAACGCCATCTTGTTTGTTAGGCTGATGCTATTTTTACAGTTATTTTATGACTGAAGTATTCGAGAGGCTATCGCTACTAGCTATAGCTTTGTAATTAATTAAAAGTTGTGGTTTTCATGACCACTTCCCCTGGCTATACCAGAGTTCAATGAATGAGAGAGACGAGTGAATTTATGTGGGCAGTATTCCAGCTATATCAGTCTCGTGGGGAAAAAACACCCTTGACCAGGCCAGATATTGTATATAATACCCAAAAAGGGTAGAATGACCGTGTGCATTTACCTTACGATATGTGCACGTGCATTTTAGCGATTCTCAATGCTGATTGGTCAGTTGAAGTCACATGACGTCACAGTGCCTCATTGTTGAGAAGTGATACTCCAGTTATTATACAGTCCATCTTGACAGGTTTTTATTCAAACTTAATATATTTATTATAAATGTCTATGTCACGATATGGCTTAAATATTGCCGATGTGACGGTAATTTCAACTCACTCACTCATTGGTAAGAAAAATACGACATGTCATCCATTGTTCATGACGTTACAAATTGATTACGTCGCGTCAACTGAACAATAGGGTACCTTCAGTGAAGTTTTCTTCACGTTCTCTCTTAAAATGTCAGTGAGTAGCCTACATGAAACTCAAAAGTATGGATTATCGGTTCCTCCTGAATGAATACCATAGGCTCTGGATTAACATCGTTCATTCGGATAGATTATCCGTTATTTTTCTCAGCTCGTTCTTTTTCCCTAATTACTGGTAGTTTGCTGCTGTTTTTTGTTAGTGCTAATAGAAAAAAGGCTGTCTTGGAGAACTTTTATATGACAGGAGAACTACCAGACACTTATTAAAGGTGAGGTGAAATAGGGTTTAACGTCGCGTCCAAGATTATTGCACTTAATATTACTACGTGCATGCACGTGAGTGTGTGGCTGCATGTAAAGTCCGGACTGATACCGATTTCATAGTACTGACCAACTGAGATACCAGGCCGCACTTAACACTCAGACACAGAATACTGACTCCAAGCCGATCAGTCATTGTTTTAGACCCTAATTCCCGAGCCCCAGGCAGGGTATCAACAAGTACCATCTTTTAATGTCTTTTGGTATGATGAGACCGAGGATCAAAACCCGACCTTCCGTTCTCCGGGCGGACGTTCTACCACTAGACCACTTGGGCGGTACTTTTTAAAGGGAGAAACACATGGAGATGAGTGAGTGAGTGAGTTGGGTTTAACGCCGCTTTTAACAGTATACATGGAGATGAAGGCCATAGCTATAGGGATAGATTGAATGGGCTACCTCTATCATTCCAAAAGTTTACACGATCTACTTACATGCGATTTCGTCATATCAACATTTATTGTACGTATTTCGATAGTTGGTGATAGCGGGGAAGCCTCGTGGTTAATTGTCACGACGATAACACGGGTTCTATTCCAAGATGGGTATAATGTGTGACACCTAATCTTGTGTCCTCCCCATGATATACTGCTGGCATATTGTTAAATGGGGCGTAAAACATCACTTAATCAAAACATGGAACTGTGTCAAAACACATCTCGTTCCCAGACACAATTACTACACTGCCTCTGCAATACTGAACCATATTTCTCATAGAACGGAATCGGGTGATCTCATAGCGCCAGGCTATTCTTGGCACCACGGGGCTCGTGCGGCACCTGCTGGCTGTACAAAATACGTGTACGCAAACCACATCTCTCAGCCCACACCATGTTTACAGTGTGACATTTTCTGTCCCTGCAGAAACTCGTTGCCAAATAATCTTGCATACTTGGGCAACGCGGGATTTTACTGAGCGCTCCGTGCTCAAACACTAGACATCGATTGTTTTAGATCTTTCAACCGCCCTTGAGAGTGCGGCACATCACAAGCGCTATCATCCAATGCGAGCGGTCATGCGATGGAATCGTAACTTATCAGACGTCAACAGACAGCTGACACAGAAAGTAAGGTAGGTTATCCTCAGGTAAATTATTAATAAGGGAATTGTTCTGGTCATACGATATCGTATGGTGTACATTTTAACCACGTCGAATTCATGTTACGGTGACCACGTTTCGTGTTATCTCGCCCTGTGACAAGGGTTAGACTCGGGTATTGATCTTTACGTTTTCTGGCGTTTGTGGACTATTTGCCGAGTAATGATAAAATGTTTATGTGATAAGTCCGTTGCTGTCAAGTCTTTTACCCACTGGTTAAATGTCATGACGAGACACGCATTATTCAAAGCAGATAACGAACGAATAGAACTGCAAAGCAATGTATTTATAGAATACATTGATTTTTTTAACTTTTAAAGAACATGTTTCTTTGAAAATTACGATGCTAAGTAACGTATAGCATTGTATAGTTCGTTTTTGCATGTTTTTTGTGTGTGTAATGAATCAACACTTGCATTGCCTTGTCGAAAGAGGCCGATCTGGCTACAGCGTTGTTAGCAAGTCGAGCCTCTTCCTGTTTCCTGTTTCCTAGACTGTTTGTAGTCTGCATTGTTAAAAGTAATGTTCAACAAAGTTTCATTGGTGCGCATTTGTTTCCCCTGGAATAAAACACCATAAGCGATAGAACTGTATTGGTTTTCAGTTAGCTATACTTAGTGACAGTAGGCTACGTTTATCGAAAGTTGGTTCAATTGGAATGCTTTAGAATGAGTACAAACGTATTGGCAGAATTATTTGGGGGACTTGGTGTCGTAAGTGAGTGGTGGTACGTTTATTTGAACAAGGGCATTACAGAAACACCATGGTGTCCGCACCATACCCGCCCTCTTTGTGAAAAAATAGTAAAAGTCTAAGACCCGCATTTCTTCCGACATTCATTCACTAAACTTCGTGATATAATTGAAATATATTTGGGACAAAAAATATTTCATTTTCTGTTTCCCATCCCGTTCTTCCGGACTATTTTGATGGAGATCGTCCAAAGGAATTAATCAACCCTCGGGTTTTTTTCTGGGCGGTTTCTTCTTAAAAATGATTCATTGTTTTGGAGGCGATCGATGACTCTTGAAAATTTAGCGCAAACTTAATGTTTTGTGGAATATGTCTTGGCAAGGACCAGGTGCAGTCTATATAAGCCCCCACGTTGCTTTCAACCCAGCTGCTATTTTCGTTATTGTAACGGTTTCTTAACCCTGTCGACCTCACACAAACAAACATGCGTCTTTCTCAAATAAAAAGGGTCTCTTTGTCGGTTGGCCTAATATTTGAATACCTAGGGATTTGTCGTTTACTTGGCGATGCTAAGCGGCAAACATTCAATGGTGGATTTCTTCCCATGAACACAAACTACTACCGAGCGTCGTGTTATTCTGCACATATTGTTTTCAGAATATACACCCACAGATAAATCTATAGGCCAGTGTAGAATGCACTATTTCCCAGTAGTAGGGAAAATGCGTCGTCGTTTGTTTCCATCCCAAATGTCTTAAAACCCGTAATGCATTGTACAGGGCGTGCAACTGAATCAACCAGGTCACCGAGCTTGACCACCAGATCCATTGGCCGCCAATTTCGAGCATAGGATGCTGATGACCCATTTTTTAACCCGAATGTTTACACAATTGGCGAGTGAGAGAATGTTGTTTAACGCCACAGTCAGCAAAGGTAAGCGATATTCCAGCTTTTCCACGGCGGTTTGTAAATAATCGAGTCAGACAAACCAATAGCTGATAGCATGGACACCACCTAGGTAATCGGGAGATGATACCCACCAAGTCACGGAGCCTGATGATGAATTATACACTCCCAACTTCAAGGCAAAATAAATTTGGTCCGGTCCAATGAGACACACATTTGTTCCTAATGTGTTTTATTCAGTTTCAAGCAGACACATAAAGGGTGCATAGTAGGCCTAGATCGCTTCAGATATTTGTTCACCTTATCTGTTTAGTCCAGACTGAATTATTTACAAACCGCCGATATACTTGTAATATCGCTGACTGTGGCGTAAAACAGTATTCACACGCAAACGCCCTCGTCAGTGAATGGACGAAGCAGGCCAACAAAAATCCACGCCTTCAAGTACGTCATCACCCACACATTGCCACCACCCCCATTAAAGTCTAGCCTACCCACCAATACCATTGAGAGAACATATGCGAAACTGCCCCAGGAATACCCACGGGGGTCATTGCAGTAAACGAGACCCGAACCTAATTGAAAAAAATCCGGATGCATCTTTGCCCTTTTATTTTGCCGCGTTTATAATGTCTACGTACAAGACATCCATTACACTCGAGACTCTCAATCACTGTCACTGTGTGTTCTCATTCTTGAGGGCTGCGTGGGCCACGCTTTGAACATGATTCCAAACCACAATACAAACGATTCAAGCACGTGTCGTTAGCGTCCAGTGAGCGTCTCTATGCTCCAAATGATCAAATGATGGAAGCGCTCATTGATTCTCTCACTCCCTGAACTGTGGTGGCAGAGTGCATGGAGCCTCGGACATGGGGCCGTTGTTCGTGTGGTACAGATCTTCAGGTCGTCAAATGCGTTCCTGGGTGGTACTGCTTTGATTGGTTTGCTTGTTGTTGCCGCATTCATCAGTATCCCACCTATATGACGGCGGTTTGTAAATAATCGAGTCTGGACCAGACAATCAAGTGATTGACGTCATGAGCATCGATCTAGACAATTGGGATACGTTGACGTGCATCAACCAAATCAGAGATCCTGGCTGAGGATGTTTGTTTGTTTGCTTTGTATGATATCTGATATATGATACATACAGTTAAGTCTCGCCTTGTTACACATTGTCATCACAGGCATGTTGTTTTGAGAATTCATATTATATGTTTCAGTACGATCAAACTTTTGGCACAGACTAAAAGATTATTTAATCAAAATCTGAATAATACTTCATGCAGGTATGTATGTATGCATGGTCGTGGATGGCTACAGGTATGGATGTACAGTTGTGGATGGCTACAGGTATGCATGGTTGTGAATGGCTACATGTCTGTGTGGTTGTGGATGGCTACAGGTATGTATGGTTGTTGATGGCTACAGGTATGTATGTATGGATGTCGATGGCTACAGGTATGTATATGTGGTTGTTGATGGCTACAGGTATGTATGTATGGTTGTCGATGGCTACAGGTATGGATGTACAGTTGTGGATGGCTACAGGTATGTATGGTTGTTGATGGCTACAGGTATGTATGGATGGTTGTGGATGGCTACAGGTATGTATGGATGGTTGTGGATGGCTACAGGTATGTATGGTTGTGGATGGCTACAGGTATGTATGTATGGTTGTGGATGGCTACAGGTATGTATGGATGGTTGTGGATGGCTACAGGTATGTATGGTTGTGGATTGCTACATGTATGCATAGTTGGGGATGGCTACAGGTATTTATGTATGGTTGTCGATGGCTACAGGTATGTATGTATGGATGTTGATGGCTACAGGTATGTATGGTTGTGGATGGCTACAGGTATGCATAGTTGTAATGGCTACAGGTATGTATGTATGGTTGTCGATGGCTACAGGTATGTATGTATGGATGTTGATGGCTACAGGTATGTATGGTTGTGGATGGCTACAGGTATGCATAGTTGTAATGGCTACAGGTATGTATGTATGGTTGTCGATGGCTACAGGTATGTATGTATGGATGTTGATCGCTACAGGTGAATGTGTGGTTGTGGATGGCTACAGGTATGTATGGTTGTTGATGGCTACAGGTATGTATGTATGGATGTCGATGGCTACAGGTATGTATATGTGGTTGTTGATGGCTACAGGTATGTATGTATGGTTGTCGATGGCTACAGGTATGGATGTACAGTTGTGGATGGCTACAGGTATGTATGGTTGTTGATGGCTACAGGTATGTATGGATGGTTGTGGATGGCTACAGGTATGTATGGATGGTTGTGGATGGCTACAGGTATGTATGGTTGTGGATGGCTACAGGTATGTATGTATGGTTGTGGATGGCTACAGGTATGTATGGATGGTTGTGGATGGCTACAGGTATGTATGGTTGTGGATTGCTACATGTATGCATAGTTGGGGATGGCTACAGGTATTTATGTATGGTTGTCGATGGCTACAGGTATGTATGTATGGATGTTGATGGCTACAGGTATGTATGGTTGTGGATGGCTACAGGTATGCATAGTTGTAATGGCTACAGGTATGTATGTATGGTTGTCGATGGCTACAGGTATGTATGTATGGATGTTGATCGCTACAGGTGAATGTGTGGTTGTGGATGGCTACATGTTTGTGTGGTTGTAGATGGCTACATGTGTGTATGTATGTATGGTTTTCGGTGGCTACAGGTGTGTGTGTATGGTTGTGCATGGCTACAGGTATGTATGTATGTGTGGTTGTTCATGGCTACAGGTGTGTGTGTATGGCTGTGGATGGCTACAGGTATGTATGGTTGTGGATGGCTACAGATATGTAGGTATGGTTGCCGATGGCTACAGGTATGTATGTATGGTTGTTGATTGCTACAGGTATGTATGTATGGTTGTTGATCGCAACAGGTGTATGTGTAGTTGTGGATGGCTACAGGTATGTATGTATGGTTGTTGATGGCTACAGGTATGTATGTGTAGTTGTGGATGACTACAGGTATGTATGGTTGTTGAGGGCTACAGGTATGCATAGTAGTGGATGGCTACTTGTATGTATGTGTGGTAGTGGATTGCTACAGGCATGTATGGTTGTGGTTTGCTACAGGTATGTGTAGTTGTGGATGGCTACAGGTGTGCATAGTAGAGGATGGCTACTTGTATGTATGTGTAGTTGTGGATGACTACAGGTATGTGTAGTTGTGGATGACTACAGGTATGTATGGTTGTGGATGGCTACAGGCATGTGTGGTTGTGGATGGCTACAGGTATGTGTGGTTGTGGATGGCTATAGGTATGTATGGTTGTGGAAGGCTACAGGTATGTATGGTTGTGGATGGCTACAGGTATGTATGGTT